ATTGTTGCTAATAGCCATAGTTGCCGAGGCTTAATTAAAAAAAAAAAACAATATCATAAATAATTTTTTCACACATTCATGTAATTAATATTATTAATTCATTAAAATGATTCTTTGATTCTTTGAATACCAAAATGTATGTTGTGTCATTTGTTTTTCCCACATAATGTAGGTACTTAATTTTTTTATCCAAATGCATAAACATAAAACTTTTTTGATACCTACTTATAGGTACGATGTTTATTAATTGCCAATTGGTACTATAAAGAAGTGTGGGCTTATGAAATAACTATAATTTTAATAACAAGAATATATTATTAAGAGTTAATGCTTAAAAAAAAATCAGTTGGTTTATGTTTCATTATTTTATTTGCAAGGTTTTTTCTATTTTTTTCTTTATGTGGTAAATTATTACTCATAGTGAGAGTTATATTTTAAATTTGTATTGTTCTTTAAATTTTAATAGACCTTGAAATGTATTATTAATATTAATACGTTTTGATTCAATGGCTTCAAAAACGATTTATTATGATTTTTCATTAATAATTATAATTTATTATTATTGTTATTATGACTATTGGGTACCTTTTATTATTTTTAATGAGTCAACTTTTACAATCATAATGGTGGGTTTGGCATTTATTTAAATCCACAATTATTTTCTCGTTAATATCTAAAATAATTTCTTTAACTGTCAATTACAAGTATTTATTTTAAATACTAAAACTAAATAATGATTTTCGTTTTAATTTTATAATTTTGTGTCATTAGATTGAGTAACGATTGATTTTAGGGAATATTCCACCAAGAAATATTTCTTTATATGGACCCACATACAAACTCGTAYTTTTCATTTGATCGACTAAGACACATTTAAGTGTATATCATTATTTATAATATTGCGTTTTTATATTTTGAATGAAATACATTTTTAATTAGACTCTAATCATAATAAAAAGTTTATGTAAGAAATGGAATACACGATTCGTCTATAATTCCATATATGGTTCGTATAAATATTATATTCACGGTTTGAATCTCACCAATTTAACAAATAAAACCTATTCGTTTGCTGTGTTTTTAAATAGAATTACGTTTCGTTTTATTATTAATCTAAATATAAAATATGTATACTTGTAACGAACAATTACTATTTTCGCCAGAATCTCAGCTAATTATGATTTAATTCAAGATAAATTTGTAACAACGATCTGCTTCGATTGACGTAGACTTGTACACTATTGCCGGTAACATATATATATATAAAACAAAAATGTGGAACACATATTAATATAATTTAAACTACGGTTCGTTGAAAAATGTAAAAATTGTACTCGCACTGTAATAATATATGTAAGTACTTTATGTATAATATTATAACATGGATATGTTTTAATAATCTTGCAACACGTTTTAGTGCAGTGGTTATCACGTGGCCATATAATAATAATAGTTGGTTCTCTCAGCCTCCGGACTACCTCTATTATAAAAATATAATATATACTTTYGACTGACGCACTGGATGTATAACGATTGGAATGTTTCAGGAATTACAGAATGAGGTCGGTGCGCTGTTGGAGTTTAGGGACATGGTCATGGACACGTTCCCGCACCTGCGTCACAAGCAGGCGTCCAGCCCGGAGCCGAGCTCGGGGTCACAGGGCGTCGGTTCCGGAGAGAGCCGCTGGGAGCCTGGGGTGCGAGTCCGCCGGAAGTTGCAGGGATCATCATCGGGATGGATCGCCGGTGCGGGCGGTGGCGGCGCTGGGGGAAGTGGCGTCGTACTGGCGGCCGCGGCTGGGACGGCGCCTCGGAGCCGGAGTAACAGCCACGGGAAGGGCCCGAAGAGCGGCGAACCGGCGGCCGCTTCGTCGGTGGGCACCGTGCAGGACAGCGGCTTCTGCACGGAGAGCAAGGACAGCAGCTCGACTAGCTCGCGGACGACGATGACTACCAAGAACTGCGGCAAGGACGACGACGAGGACGAGCTGTGGAGCCTGCTGGAGATGATCCAGGACAAGGGCACCAAGCTCAAGCTGGAGGTGGAGTCGTTGCAAAACCGATTGCTGGTGGACGATGAGCGGTTGCGGCGACGCCGGCGCCGGCTACGGTTGCGACCGTGCCGCAGTGTGGACGACCTGCTGCAACCAGGGACGCGTGACGACGACTTACTCAGCACCTACTGCAGCGGCGTCACCACCGACTACGATGTGTTCCGGGCGCACGTGGCGACCGTAAAACGCGAACGGGACGCGYTGCTCGAYCGAGTCACCGAAATGGAAGCGGAGAGCCTGTCGAACGCGGCGCAAATCCATCGGCTGCTCACCGAACTCAAGACTGTCGTGTGCGAGAACAAGGAACTCGAAGAACGGCTGTGCGGTGGCAAGTCGCCATCGGCCGCCGCAGCCATAGCAGCCGCGACCATCGCTGCGAGGAAATCGTCATCTAGTCATAACGGCGGTGGCTTCGCGCCGGTTCAGCCCGATTCGTCGACGGGACCCAGTTCGTCGTCGGCCGGCCGCGACGCATTCTACACCCCTAGCCAACATTCGGCGTGCAACTTGTCGTCCATCGAACTGCAGTGCAGCAAATTATTGCACGACGGTTCGTCGTCCGCGTCCTGTGCGTCGTTGTCTTCGTCATCCGCCATGATGGACGACGACGGCAGCGGTGAACGGGATAGGGACCGCCACCGGTCCAGRAGAGTCCTAATGGTCCGACCGTCCGACCCGATCTCCCGGAACCTAGAGGGCCGCGCATCGTCGCCGGCGTTAGACATCGGGTCGCCGACGTTCGCCAAGCGGCTGGGCGCCYTGGACGGCGTGGTCAGCAGTCCCAGTGACCGGATCAACAAACCCCATGCACCAGGATTCAGCACTCCGTTGCCCAAAAAAACCCTAGCGGCTATACTGAAAACGTTCAATCCCATCGAACTTCAGCGTCACCTCATCACCGTATCCTACGAAAACAAGGTGAGCTATATACTTAGAGATGATCCTAATCCGCATTTTTCCTGATAAATTAAATGCCTATATATGGATTTGCACCTTTTTAACTTTGTATTCTAAAATGGTGGCACCCTTATGCAAACAAAAATTACTAAACTAAAGAATTTTAAATTGCGAAATCAAAAAATTTGGCTTCRAGGTGCACATTCTAGGTTATAGGATTCAGACATATCAAATTACAAAAGCTAGTGKGATAGACTTGGTTGCGGATCACCAATTACCCACTTATAAACCTTTTATTAATATTAACACTATTAGACGAGTATAGTCTGCTRTTGGACTCGTTAAAATAATTAATAAAAAATATTATTTTGATTKAACATAATATAGTCGTTATTGGTTAGAGTACTTGCGACTGGTACCTACTCTAAGCATTTTGCATTCCATGGCATTACTAAAAACTACGCTAATTCGGCATTAATTGTAATATTAAACATTATATGAAATTGATATTAACGTATCAAATAATAACGTGGAGGTAATGACTCAAGAACTACAAATATTCTTAATTTTGGTTTTTTTTTTTTTTGGTGTAAGACTTTTTTCAGCTACCTCGTTTTAATTCACGCATTACTTTTTGGGTTAACATTTTTTTGTATGTTTTTCTTTTCATATCATTCACTTGTAATATTATTATTTATGATGAGTCATCATCACTCATCATCTTAGATTTTTTTTACTTTCGCGCCTTCTCGTACGCCTAGAATGTCTACGACTCGTATAAATCTGTTTTTTCCCTACAATTTGATACAGCTGAAAGAGAACAATACATATGTATATATATATTATAATACTGATGAACATTTCTAAATGGTTCCAGTTGACAAACTTTGTAAGTACGCGCGCGCTCGTTTTTCCTATGAATAATGAATAATATAATATATTATATATTATCTCTAATACGATTTGGAACAATTATTTGTTTAGATACTTTCTTTGCGGTTAAAAGCGTGCTAAAAGTTTTCTATTTGCAAACACGCGGTTTGATTCAAAACCACGCGTAATCTGCAGCTTAGATAGAGAAATTGAGAATAAGATCAAAACGCAATTTACATGAGCGAATGTACATGCGTCTTATGTGTGCAGAAAACTTATCCGAAATTATATTTACATTTAAATCACATATTATTTTGATCTGACCATAATATAACTCAAATATATTATTGTGGCACGTCTGCCCTCAATGAGTGGATACAATTTTCTTTAGAAGATATTGGTACGTGATACATGGAATATCACTGTAAGATTTGCGGTCAAAAAGAAATGTCGAATTTTTYCTCGCATCCTGCCGAACGTCYCACTTGACACATATCTTATTCAATAACGATTCGTATACCTATAATATATTATATATTTTCATCGCTTTTATTAGCATATCCATTAGTTGGTTTCAATAAGGAACGTATTATTTTATTAAACCAGTCACAGATGGTTATAATTATTCTTTCGATTGCTGTACACTTTTTCTGGACACGCTCCCAAACCCACATTAAATACTTTCGATGAATACGTGTTGAACGTCGTTATAGAGTGCAATAATTGCGGTGCAATTAAGAGTTGTTAAATTATTGTAGCGATGCAACGACGTCTGTGAACACAATATAATATAATTGCTAGTGATCGTAAAAGACTCATGAGGGTATCTGTTGAAAAAAATGTAAAACTACGTTCAATACTATAGAAAGACTGTTCAGTAATATTAATTGACCGCCCACCGGCTTGAAGAACCCCTTTTGTCGTGCAGCGGACGTTATATAGTTATTATTATCGTTACTATTATTATTATGTACAATATGAATTTTCATTTCTGAACCCACATTGACATATATTTACATTGAAATTTCAAGTTCGTCACTAGTTGACCATATACGTGCACCGCGAGTGGTGCGTAAACCCACGTGATTCCAATTTATTACACCGWACCTATTATTGTTGTGTGTATAGTAAAGGTCTTCATTGTTTCGACTTTTAATTTTTTTTCGGTAGGCGTATTWCTGTTTTAAATGTTTTAATATTTCATCTCTGAATACGCATACGCATATGATTATGATTATGCACTTTTCAAGTATGTATGGTGCTTATTTATCTCTACAACTCATGATTTATGTTTATGTACTGTATACTGTATAATATACCCTGTCATCGAAATGCAATAGTAATAAATCGCAGTGTATAGAGCCGATAATAATTAATTATCTCGTGGCGGTGACAATGTTGTTGTTATTATTCTGTTATAAAATATTTTTATCGTATAATGAATTTCTACACCGGCCGTTGTTAATGCGTACCTACAACGATTACAGATGAGTTCTGAATTCGAATACGTTTTTGCTCGAGAAACAATGAACGGTATGTCCCGCAGTTAAGGTAGGCTTATAGTTAGTGTAATATGGTTACGTAACCGTGATTCCTGAACGCAGAACGAAAATCCTAACCGTAAAATATATTGTAGAGCGGTTTACCTACCTGGCTACCTATAGCATTATTGCATTAAGAATATTATATTTATATTTTAATAAAATATTATATACCATTGTACCGAGTCAATTAGAAACACAGTCTTGGTCATCTGGGACACCAGTGGTGTATATACGTCCAGTGCACTGGCATCGAGTATATTCGCTATATTCGTAGAATCGCTGGCCCGGCGATAATTAACTGACCTTAGCTCGTGCTTGCGCGCGCGGGAGAGTGTGTGTGTGTGTGTGAAGTCTGTGTGTGATATCCACTTTCGCAATATCGACGAATTAACGTTCCTTATAATAAATCTTTGTGTACCTACACCTATATATAGTACGGAGAACGAAAACGGGCCAACGCCCTTCGACGAGATTATAAAGCGGGGATCGCGACGTTTGACGCAAATGAATGAGTGGAAAAAATTAATATTACATAGTTATAATTCGTATTCCAGTTCAGGTTTAATGGTATGAGTATTGTCGTATATGACGTTTTCGGTCGATGCGTATTAGATTTATGGGGTTTCGATGACATTGGCCATGATGGGTTTCGCCGTGTGCGTCTATATACGTATTGTAGAATTTTATATATAATAATAATTAGGTACGAATACACCACATAATATTACGCTGTTTTTGTCTGTTGCACGCGTGGGCTAATTATACAAATCGACTTATAGTCTGAAAAAACGTACATGACAATAGAATTACTAAAACACTTTAAAAACTGATAGTTATTTATACTGTTAATATTATTCACATAATAAAATTACYTGGTTTTAAAATCTACAAAATTATATTCCTTTTAGTGCTTATAATAGTTACTATGCGCAGTACAGTCTTTAATAATTCGATGAGATTCACATGTTATAGTATATTGTTTTATACTTTGGTTAAGCAATGTGGGAAACTAGAAAATATTGGCATGAACTTTTCTTATTCACATCATTTTAATCATATTGTAGTTTACATTGTCTAAAATATCTTAAACCACCATTAATGTAAATATTGAATATTCTTAACTCGTTTTATATTTCAGAATCTCGTCCGTCAGATGGAGATGTTGAACATTTCCAAGAACAACGTTTCCAACGAGCTGAACAAGAGTAAAGAGGATAACGAAGAACTGAAATTCCAAGTGAGTACCGTGCCACGGCGAAGCTAGTGACGCTAGTGACGCGCTGGCGGAGGGTTGGCCACACAAATAATCGAACGATGATATCATCATGTGCTTGTTTGTTTTAGCTGGAGGAAAAGCGAATCGAGCTGGAAGGGACCATGGCCCGGGTGAGGTTGTTGCAATTRCACCAGGAACAGCAGCAACACGGCCCCGTCGTCGCGGGATCGCAGTCTGCCGGCACTTCGGCCGCGGCCACTAACCAGTGGCTAGATCTGGTGCCATCAAACCCGATCCTACCTCAGATCGCGCTGCCGGGAACGCCTTCGGCGGCGGTCTCCACCCCACATACGAGCAACAACCACCTGCACCATCATCACCACAATCACAGTCAGGACKAGAACGGTGGCAGCAGCAGCACCGAGTCGGCGCATCAGACCCGTAGCGGCAGACACGGCGTACAGCATCAGCCCAGCAAGATACCGGTGGTCAAGCCGTCGTCGTGCCCGGTGCAGCCCAGACCGACGTCTTCGTACCGCGGAAGCGACGTGCAGCAGTACCAGTCGTGGACCAAATGCAAGTCGGACCAATCGTTGCCCCGCAACTGGGAGTCCATCAACAACAACAAGAGCAACGGCGGGTCGTCCATCGGCAGTGGCGGTGGTGGCGTCAAACAGCGCGGCAACAAAACCGACTCGTCGYATAATCACCTGCACCAACACAGGTCCCGAAGGGATTCGGGCGGCGGTGGCGGCGGAGTGTCTCTGACGCGAGCCCGGTCGCAAAACAATCACTCGCACCGGGGCGGCGTCGCGRCGTCACCGTCGACAGCGGGTGGCGTGGCCAAAGACTTTAACAGGACTGCGTCGGCGGTGTCCGCGGGTCATCAGCTGCAGTTGCTGCAACAACAGCCGGCGGCTGACGATACCAACAAGGTACGGCCGACCAAGAGATTCGCCAACATACTTAACAGTTGGATGCGGAAATCCTAATGGAAGGCTTTTAAACACACACACTCGGCCGTATATATATATATATTATAAGATGGCGTCATCATATCGGCCGATGTCCTACGACGTGTGCGCATGCGCACGTTTTCAGACACACAAACACACACACACACATATATATATATATATATATATATAAATATATATATCGTATACGTAGGCGCGCACACACATACTACTCACACGCACGCCGGTTTAAGTCGACAGTGTATATGTATATATAAAATATGATGTGTGTGCGCGTTCCTGTGTGCGTGCTTAACATTATATATACATATATGATAAAATGCACTATTTATATATATATATATATATAATATCGCACCATGCTGTTGTTTCCAATCACACCACAGTCACCAAAAAATTAAATATTCGAAAAAATCTGTTATATAATATTTTATATATATATATATATATATATGATGAGAAAAAGGATTAGCTTTTCGACGTGTGCTTGATATTGCTTCTTTGGACATTACGCAGTAAATCAAATATATACATAATATAGTACATATTATATACGAGCATATACGCATATCGTGTCCCCGCGATTACCAACACACACCGTTCACACGCGACGACTCAAGTCGGCCGAAACCCGTAAGTCTGATAATTTTTTTTTCTGTCTTTTTGTGTTGTTTACTAAGTTTCAAAATTTACATAACCGTCTTCTTGCCCTTTTTTTATAAGTGTTTTATGTTGTAGAGTTGTGGCTTATTGCATGATGTATAGGTCACGCCTCACGCATCTCCCTCCGCGTGTAACACACACTTTTTACACTTTCCCACCTACACGCGTGTTATATAGATATCTATAGCAAATATTAAGACATTTTATTCGATTCCATACCGATCTTCATAATTATTGTATCTTTGTATGATATACATGAGTTATATATTATATATAAGCGCGTTTACTCATTTATTATATTACGCACATACGTCAACTATACGGGCGTTCGTAAAAATACTTTTTAAATTAATAAATAAATTATTGGTAATGTAGAYTATTTATATCATTAATGCTATATACTATTGATTGTGGCTTGCTGATTTTATTAATTTGATATTGTATACTTGTGATTATTGCTCTTTTATATAGGACTGATCGAATTGTGAATTTTTCGCATAATTTATTGTATACGCTTCAAAGTCGCCACGTGACGACCATCACTATGATGGGAATCCGAATTCGACCACGATATTATATAGTCGAACAAGGAGATATAATTTTGAGCAAAATTTCGTCTCGCTCTAGTCCCCTCAAACCGCAGTATACGCAGGCGTTTATATCGCACCGCGCTCGTTCGATCCGCACGATCTAATATAAATTATAAAGTATACCAATATTATGGTTACCTACAAATAACCGATTTTCGATTTGCCYTGGAATCGCGTAAACCTGCAGGAAAACAACGGTGACGGTTGTTATGCACACTACAGCAGGATCATCATCTACCGCAGTGTCCGTCGGTCGTATGATATAAATCCGTGTTCGTCGCGAGGTCGATTTACGCTTTATCCGACGGCGATAGTCACGTATTTTCCGAACTTTTAATGGGATTTTTTTTTCAACGTCCCGGTCCGATTATATTAATGAAAACCGCGTTGTATAATATATACCTAGGTATATATGCACAATAATAATATTAACTATATTTCGACGAGACACGGTCCGTTAATTCTTTTTAGCGTCTGGTTAGCGATATAACTACAATGTGTAATATACAAAGGACCAATATATATGTATATACCTCGTGTAGTCGTGTGTATGTATATCATACGTGCGCATTCGTGTAGTTTATGTATGGACACGAGAGAGAGAGTAAATGAGATAAAGCAGTAATTGAGAGATTCAAGGCCCATAGTCGTCATAGTCCGCCGCCGTCTCATCTCCCCGCGTGCTTCAGACGTATAATTATTATTACAATAATTTGTTTGTTCTTTTTTTCCATTCGGCGGTTCTTTATTTTTTTTTCCAACTCGAAATCAAGGACAAAAACGGTACCCACTGCAGCAGATTATACACCTATGTATTGTTATGCTCGTATACCAATGGGCAATGTGTATATAATATATTATATTCTCTTCGTCTACGCGTGCCCGACCCTTAAACGATTTTCCGTCGTACTTACGTTATATTTAGGCACAAACCACAGTGTCTGCTGCTGTAGCATAAGTTTTTAATTTAAATCTTTTCACAAAAAACGATTCGTTACCCCTCCCCTCCTCCCCCCATTTGCTCYTTGTAACCTTCTACGTGACGACGATGACGACAATAACATGATATTATAAAACTTTATTAAACTGTCGTCGCTCGTCACACGAGTCGCCTTGCTACAGCTAAGGAAAAACATTATTAATATTATAATATATAGTGTACGCTGCCGTTTTTTTTTTACAATGTATTTTATATGCGCCTCAAAATTGATTTAACAATTATTAGAAAAATAAAAAACAATTCGATACAAAATCGCACGTCGAGTTTAAATTGCGGCCCGACATCGTTGTACCACAATAATAGTATACTGGCACATTGCATCGGTTTTCGACTGTCCATCCGTCAGCGCAATTTATTGTTGTCCGGTGTTTAGTACCCATGTGTAGGTATATATAATTTAATAGCTCTATACTTTCTATACTTCCGTTCGGTTTCCGGCCGCGCGCTGACCTTTATAGTCAAAAATCCCAACACAGTACACAACAATATGTGGTCTGCAGCACGTAGCATTGTGTATACGAATAGTAATCCGTTTAGTGCACTCATTTTCTGTCATTGAAGTGATTGAAATAACAAACATTTTCCGTCTTCAAAGTAGGTACTTTTAACTATAGATGTTAACAACTTTTTAATAATTTGTCATTATCGCAGAAATATTTTTGGGTTTTACTTTTTTCAAACCTAAAACTTCAATATCTCAAATTCAGTTTCTAAATCTTTGAAGTAGTCCATCACTACTGTAATATAATCCTCCTAGCTTAAAAGTAGATACTTTTGTGAAAAAAAAAAACAAGAAGGTTTTATTAGATTTTTGCAAAGATATATTTGGTAGGTACCGAAGAAAAACATTTTCACTATTTTTTTCGGAATCATATAATGACTGATCGAATAATTAGTGTAGCCAGTTAAATCGTACACCATGTACATATAGAATATGTGATCGTGTTCTGTATCTAGATAGTAATAACGAGTGCAATCAACTTATCGGAATATAAAATACGTTTTCTCATCGATTGTTGTATAGCTGCATTATATACTATTACTATTATATACACACGTCATGTCGTCATCTGCTAGTAATTTTATATATAGAAATAGTTATTAACAACGAAAATAAATGTTATTAGCAMATTCAGTGTGGACTAGATTTCTTATTAGTTATTAATGTTATTATATTCATGTACTGCTGCAGCTTCTCGCGTACACGATAACAATAATATAACATAATTTCTTTAGAAAATCGTTTCGGAAATAATAATGATACTGTTACGTATTTTTGTGACTCGTCCCCCTAGTACATTATAATATTTATATACCTAGGTACCTACCGTTATACCGACGAATTTTCATCCTGACGGTCGAACCACAGTGCCTGTGCGGAGAAAATTGAAATCATTGCTATAATTGCGTCGCATCGTTGTCCGAAAACCGGCAGGTCATCGATAACATTATTGCGTTTCGGTTCCTCTTGGTTATTTTTACCTAAATAGTAAATATATATTTAAGGTAGGAATAGAGTAGCCGCCCGTGTACGACCGGAAATTGTCACTTCCTGATTGCTATGCACATTACAATAGCGCACGTACTGCGCATCCATCGGCCCGCATCGCTCGTCATGAATTTTTTTTTTATATTAATATATTAACAGATTAGCCGTTCATCTGCGTTACATACCATAATATATAATGCTGTATACGATGTAGGTATTTACCTACCGTATACCACTGTGCGAGTCTGTGCCTAAATCGTATATTATTATTTGTATTATAAACTCTCGCTCGTTTATACTCAATTATCGCATTCGATTTTTCGTTTTTTTTTTTTTTTTTTTTAATCTGTCGGTGCCATTATAATAAATTAAAATGAAAGTCAAAACGTTATATCCGTTAATTTTGGCTGCCGATTAATATATACGTATATTTTCATATATTTATATATAATTTTTGTATGCGTATGTGTGTGTGTGTTTTCTTGATAAAATTACAATCCGCCGGTGTCTTGTATTGTTTGTATTTCTGTACATATTATATTCTGATATTTTTTTAATTCGCATAGAAAGTCATGGCTGTCTGTGTACCTAAATAATTTTTAAGCCACGAACAATTACTCGAATAAGCGGTAACGACTAGTACCTACCTATGTATAAGAATTTTCCATTTCGACGAGATAAATGAAATTTTCCTGCATTCGGAATTTAAAATGTCATTCGTGATGGTTAATCATATTCACATCAACATATTATTGTGTTTTAGTAGGTGTATACATTATGCAGAGAGGTAAAAATTATTACAAGTTTAATTGCTTTTTTACCACGATTGAAAATACTTTTTTATACATTATATACTCTACTATATATAACCTAACCTTGGTAATATAACTTTTTTCGAGCCAATCGCTATAGCCATTTCGAGTGATTTT